CATGTCAACATATTCTGTTACACCAAATACACAAAATAATGATCTTTAAAAAAGCATCATATGACCCCTATAAAATGAAAGAAACGTTCCGTTATGGAAATTATTTTTTTTAAGTTTCTTTCAACCAATTTTAAGCAGGAAGAACGCCGTTAGCTGCATTTCCAGTCTCTGTTCATCAACATCTGTCTGCATGTCTCCTGCCGCGCACGTTAAGTCTCGTTGTACATCATATACCGGCTCAGACACACCCCGCTTCCCTGTTCCAGATGACAAAGTAGATTGGGACACAGACTGGCCCCAGTATAGCCCTGTTAACTATACCGCCCCCACTGTGCTGAAAAAGCCTGTTTGGGCTGACCCAGAGATTGGGTAAGTATTATAGGAAAATGCTGACAGAAAATGCGCAGTTTAAAGTGGACTCATTTTCATGGTACACAGAATGTTCTACATCAGTCCCCAAACTTTTCAGAGTGGAGTACCCCCTGAGGCATCTACCATCCTTCTGCATACCCCCTCTCTTCCACTTAGACTGCACCTTTTCTATTAAAGGACAATAGTTGCCCCCTAAATGGACTTTCCAGTGCATTTTTATCTTTATAAATACAATATTAATAATGTTTTAAATAAAATAAAAAAAAGTTAAATAGAGTAAAATGCAATGATACAAAAGTGAAAAGTGATTATTTTAAATACTAAAAGCGCCAGTAGGTGGCGGTAAGTCACTGTCTTAATGCGTGAGTCATCGAATCATTCGTTCATTCAGTAACGAAGCAAGTGGCTGTATTTATGAATGAATCATTGAATCAATGACTTTCACGAAAGATTCGTTCACGTAACACCGCAAAACTCAGCATTTTGTAAGCATACCCCCTCTGTCGCCTCACGTAGCTACCCCAGTTTGGGAACCACTGTTCTACATTAAATATTTAGCTAACAACAGCCTGAAGTTACCTAGCAACAGTGTATGTTTACATTAGCTCAGTCAACATTAGGCTAACCTCAACAGGTGTATGTAGGCAGAAAGTATGATTATCCTGACCTGAGCTAATTTACTGAATCAACCAACTCACATCTCCTTTCTTTCTTTTCATCCATGATGACATTAAAGTCATCTGTTGCGTCTTCTGGCGTTTCATCGCTGACTGTGCCGCAATCGCGATACCCACTCATTCAAAAAATTCATAACAGACGAATTTTGAAAAGTGGTGGTGGGGGGGACATGTCCCCCCTGTCCCCAGTGGAAATTACGCCCCTGTATTATAGAGATGCACTGATCGATCGGCCAGGGATCGGAATCGGCCGATTTTCCTCACGATGACGGTCAGTCTCACTTCTTTCCGATTCCAAGCCGATCCGTTTTGTTACCAGCGGCACAGGCAATCTCGCTCTCTCCTCTCCGACGACCCCTTCTCTCTCACACACGTCTCATTCGCTCCGGTTAGATAGTGTTTGTATTGCGCATTATTGTAGTCATTCCCGCAGGTTTCGCGCTTACACCACTGATCTATATTACAGCCTCAAACAGCTTGTGAGCCACAAATACCAAAATGAGTGGCTAACTGCGCTAAAACGTTAAATACATACAAAATAATGTCAAATTCCATTATCCAGTTAAACATAGTTGAGGATACTGAGAAAGTTGAGAAAGAGAACGCATGTTGTGTAACAGTATATTGTGTCCGTGAATAAACTCTTAAAGGGACAGCAGTCCAATATTCCTGC